GCCCGCGACAGGCCCAGCGCTGCCTCCGGCTCGGTCTGCAGGGCTCGCGCGCGGCGATGTGAGTGTGGAGCGGGCGCGCGGCGGGAGGGGACGTGCGCGGAGCCTGAGGCGGCCCCGGGGGTCACTTGGGTCCTGCAGAGCGCGGGGCCTCGGGGTCCTGGCGGGGCGCCGCCGTGGGGAGGGATCCTGGTTTTCTCTGACTTAAAATAAAATATTCACGATTTTCGGATTACAAAAGTAGCCCCAGATCCACATTTTTCCGTGATTTAAAATGAAACGTCACTATATATATTTATATTTCTTTCTCTGTATGAGTGGCGTTTCATTTTAGTCACAGAAAAAATGTAGATTTGGGGTTACTTTTTTTAAATCTGAAAATTGGGTTTTGGGGTGGCTGTTGTTTTGTTTTTTTTAATCGGAGAAAACCAGGATCCCTGCTGATGGGGCATGTCGGCCCTGAGGCTTTGCCTGGGAGGCCTTTTGGAGCTCTGTGCAATGGAAAAAAGGTGCTCTCCTTTTCCTGGGGGGCAAAGAAATGAGTGAAGAAGAGGGTGGGACGGGGTGCCTCGAGTCTCGCTGAGGATGCCTCAAGTCTCCAAAGCTCGACTTGTAGGATCAGAGAGGTGGGGCTGGAAGGGCTCTCAGGAGGTCTAGGCAGGTGGTTCTCAGCTTTTTCTGTACTCATTTTTGGGCTCATCTGTAAACAGCATCGGTCAATCCTGACCCAGTGCCCTTCACTCTCGACTTAGCCTCCAGTGTCTGGGGCAGGGAGGGGTGTGTGGGGCTGGGGGCCCCCCAAGGAGCCCCTCGCAGGCTGGAGCTCTGCCAGCCTGTGAGGGAAAAGCCACGGTTTCCCATGTTCTTTTCCTTTGAAGGAGAATCCATTTTTAAAGCTTGTTCGTGACACTGCTGTATATTCATGCAGCTCACTTTGGGGTCATGACCCACAGGTTGAGGAACGCTGATCTAGTCCAGTCCCTGCCTGAGGCAGGATCATCTCTATCCAAACCATCCCATACAAACAGCCGGTCCCGTGGGGGTGGGGTGGGGTGCGGTGCAGAGGGAGACAGACCAGGCTGTGGCACGTGGCCAGTCCTGCTGCCCCCCCATGGAGTGCAGCCCTCTCTATCCCCACACACAGCTCTCGGGTACTCTGGGAGCTGTAGTCCATGGGGCTTGGCAGCCTGCAGGAGGTGTAGCAGCCCCCATGGTGGCAGCTTGCTCTTACCCTCACTCTCCAGCTACATCAATTAGCATCTCCCCAGCCTACCTTGCCCCGCTGTCCCTGTGTAAGGCAGCGTAAACAGCTGTGACAGGGAGCTGAGACGTTCAACAGTTCAGCTGAACTCCTTAAGTGGTCCTCCAGCCCAAATAATTCACCACTCCCGATCTAAACTGTACATAGGTCTATGTGGCACTAGTTTTGGCACCCTAACCTGACATGGGTAAAGTTGGGGAACCATAGCAGCAAACGTCCTGCCTCTACAACCACTACTATATATACATGAGTAGCAGCACTGTGCTGGCTACAGCTGTGATTAACTGTGGTTGTTACCAGCATTATTCCTGGACATTGTGCACAGCCATCCTTTGGGCTGCCAACCTTTGTTATGCTTCCTAATATAGGGCCAGATAGTGCAGCTGGATCAACATGAGCAAACTCTTGGGCCCCCTGTGATTTGGCTTTGCTGACCTGCTTGCCGTTCTGCTCTCACATCAGGCCATGGGTGTTCATAGGGCCCTATGAAAATGTTTGATGTTGCTGAGCTGAGCTTGCAACATGAGGTATACATCTGCTTACAGATTTATACAGGGGTCTACCAGCCTCAGTACTAAATTCCACTGTAGGTAGTGGGGTAGACCCACTTGTGCAGATCATCTTACAGGGTTTGGGGTTCATGATGGGGGTGGTATTCTTTGGATTGGTAGTAAGTAAAAAAAAAAAAAAAAAAAAAATGGTGTCTGCCACATGTGAATAGCCTTACTCACCTTAATGAAAATACTCACAGACTAAATGTTTAACAGGTCCTTTTGAGGGGGCAGAATAAGAACTTTGAATTGTACAGGCTGTTGCAGGCAGAAACCTTGTTGTGATAGGGGCTAGGGCCCCGATTTGGCACAGCAGAAATAAATACACACAAAGAAATTAACATTGAA